TTAAACAATCTTACAAAAAAATGATTTTATAATGAGTTTTGATCTTATAATTTTTGTCTTATCTAATTTTATCCAATTTTCAGAAGCATAAAGGAATTGGTAATTGACCTGGAAAAAAATCAGAAATACTTGTTGTTAAACAATTTCTTACAAAAAATGATTTTATAATAAGTTTTTATTTTATAATTTTTGTCTTATCTAATTTTATCTAATTTTCACAAGCATAATGACATCCGAAAGAATTGGTAATTGGCCTGGAGAGTTTTTTTAGAGATGATGATTCAAGATGATGAAATTAGAGAAATTAGTGAAGATGGTGAAATTGAAGAGATCTTGAATGAACCTTTGCCTCAAGGTGAATATGTACTCAACTCTTTAGAAAGACAAATTGTTTAAAGACAAGTGTTTCTGATTTTTTCAATTGGGGCTAGAGTAGGGATGACAGAGAAAAGGTTGAGTGAGAGAGATGAAAGAGAAGAGGAATGAGAGAGGTGAGTAAGGGTTTGGGGGGTTTCCTTTTTTTTTTTTTAAGTTTTGAGAATGAAAATTATTAAAATACCCTTAACCTTAAAACTTAGAATCCATGATATATAAGGGTATTTTTGTCTACTAAAATCCGGTACACATTGCTAAAATGTACCAACTGAAAAACAGGCGTACGCGCGTTAGCAAACCCCATATATATATATATTTAATGTATTTCTCTTTTCCGAAATTGAGGGTATAATTTCTACTTTAGTTGGTTCAACCTGTTTCCCGTATTAACTTCGCTACTATTGTTTTGCTTTTAAATTGGGATGCGCGGTTCTAAATTTAGGAAAATTTAAAAGTTCGAATTTGAGAATGTATTTAAGATACATGATATAATATTAAATATTTAAAAATTGATTTAACATAAAATAAAAACTTTTATCACTTATTTAATTTATTTAAAGTTATAATAGTTTTGTCATTGAAGGGACAAGAAATCGTAAAAGATAGTGCCGTCAAAATGGGTTGAAACTCGTGAGCTAATTGGCTCACCATGGGTTTGAGTCGGGTTGGGTTGGATGACAGTTATATCTTGTGTTATATATTTTTGTTAACAGCTATATGTAGTTTCTTGGTCAAACGATTGTGTATGTCTCATTAAACTAAACTGACAAAAATTTATCCTCGATAGCTTAGAATATATAACAATATATTTCTTTTGTTTCATTTTCTTTTATATCAATTGGTCAAATTATTACTGTTTTAATTTGATCGATTAAAGTAATATGTTATAAGAATCTGAGAAGAAAAAGGTGAAAAAAGTTAATTAAGTGAGCCAATGAGCCAACCCGTTTAACCCACCAACCCGTGGTGGGTCGGGTTGGGTTCAAATTTTTTCAGCTCGCTAATAAATGAGCCGAGTTGGGTTGGCTCACTAATTGACCAACCTGTGATGGGTCGGGTCAGGTCGGATTATCCGTTTTGACAACTCTAGTAAAAGGTAAACAGAGTTCGTAATGTATATAATAATAAGTGAATAGTATAACATATGTAAAAATAAGTAAATTGTAAGATAATAATTTTGGGAATATTTCAGAAAAAATAATTTAGTTAATAATGATTATTTGAGAAGTGCAAACAACACATATATTGTAATTCTAACACTCAATATTTTTTGTTTGAAAAATATAAAATCATGGATAAAACCCATTTAATACCATTATTGGTCCCAATTTTGGGGGGTTATTGTTCAATGTAGTCCTAAAATGCATAATTTGTGTTTAATTTAGTCTTTTTTACAAACACCGTTTAAATCGTTAACGACTATTGCTCCAACTGTGCAAACCCCAAATGAGATGACATTTAACTACTGCCAGGTCACCATCTTCTTCAATCGAACCCTAACGCCATCGCCTCTGTAGAGATAGTCTAAAGTCACCATGCCGCCGTGAAGCCACGCCTGCAGAGAACCATGGCAGTCGTCACGCACAACCTCCATGGCCACCACCATCAAAGTCGTGATCTCCCCCAAATCTCACAAAACTCTCCTCAAGCTGTCGGGCTAACCAGATCACCTCCGTGCCTCCGCTATTACAGGATTTTCTCAAGCCGCCGCTGCCCGCATCTCGTACTTGTAAATCAAACACAAGCACCTAGAAATAGAGAAAGCTGAATCGCACCACTCAAACTGCTAAGTTTTCACCGTCAATAATGCCGCAAGCCACCCTAATCTCGAACTCCATTCGAATCTTCATTCTCGTGCATCAGCCATGAATCATCCAAATCGAGAGCTTCATCGTCAGCGCAACAATCCTTGCCGCCGCCGTGCAAAGCTCCAAGGCCATAATTTTCTCCAACCTGTATAGAACCACAACAAAATCTAGAAAAATCCCAAATCAAAGAAACCTATAATCGCGCCGCTGCTTGCTTCCATCGGCCACCATGAGTGCTTTCTTACATAATTAGGTTCGTCTTCTTCATGCTACCATGACCCGCACAATTCGCGAAATCATCCTCCATTGAAGCAAAACCGTGAGCAGCGTTTTCCCTCTTCTCGCGGCG